AAAATAATATATTGATTGAATAAGTATTTACAGGTTTTTTCCCTTCGCAACAGACATGTCAAGTACGGTATGCGTTTCCTGAACAATACTCTCAGACGCCGAGGCCGTCATCAGACCTCTGATAGCGGTTTCTTTCCGCCTGCAGCGTGACGACAACAGCATGGCGGACTTCATCCTTAACTACGGCGCCATCGCTTTAGCATTCTGGCACCATTCAGACAGGAAGTGTTTGATGCCTTGCGTTCAAAAGCGCTGGGCCGATTGCGAGTAGCCACTGTTCGTAATGTGCCTTTTGTTGCATCCCAAGTACAACGGCGTATTTCAGCAGTGCCGGAGACGGACCGGACGTCAATGGGACAGCTGGGCAAATTCGCCACCATGTACTATAAGCCGTTTATCGACGACGATGTCGGGTATCTTCGTCTCGATGTCTTGCGGTGACATCAAAAGGGTCTGTCGTTATACGACCTGGAGCCGTCGGAGCTCGCTTCGTCATCGGCACTCGACTTTGGCAGTACATTCTCCTGTCGTTCAAGATGCCGCAGCTGGCGCTGACTCTGCTGTCGGTGGTGATCAACACGGCGACATGCAAGCGATAGTTCTCCGAAATGGCGCTGATTCACACCGCCAAGCGAAATCGGCTGGCCCCTGAATAGGCCAAGCAGATTAGTGTAAAGAGGCAGGCCGTGCGCAAAACAAACTCATCGTCAATGACGCTCTATGAATACAACAGCACGGCGACGTCTGGGCGCATCGTCGATGCAACCGAGCGCCATGTGGTCGGTCATGTGCAAGCGGAGCAAAACGACGACCTCGACGTTCACGAACCGACGGATTCCGACGCGGATGACGTCGAGCCCGAAGTACGCAGAGATCATATTCTCTTCGAGTGGAGCCAGATTCTCAGCAGTGGCAGCGGCACCAATCAGTCGGATGATGACATTGAAGTGGAGGAGATCCTCGATCATGGCCAAATTCAGGAGAACGTGCCCAACTGGCCGCAGGAGCCTACAACTGCGAATCTCATGGGCCTCCGAGGCATCAAGGTAGAACTGGTGACCTCTTCGAGGGCGTCTGCCTGCCCGACTCATTCTGAGTCAGAATCACTAAACAGCGCTGAGCGCCGAACATTAGCAGGTGTGAACCGTCGCGAACTCTTTATGACTGCTAAATGACTATGGCAAGTATACGCCTTGAAATATCGATCAGCTCAACCATGACGCCACGAAGGGCCTTCAGCTTCGTGGCTGATGACTTTTACGTACACCTGGCCTAGAGCCTTTGACAACGTCCGAACAATGTTTGGTCGGCGGGCCGGGGCTGGCGGCATTTTTTGCAACTTTTTATTGTTATATTTAAAAATGATTATATTTAAAACGTTTAAACATCAATTTAAACGCATTTAAACGTTTATATTATTGAATTTTCCGTTTAAATGCCACCACTGATGTGCTCGTAACCAGAGGGTAATGGAATTGCAAGCGCCACATCCACATCATCTGTTTTAGGTTGCTATGGGCGAACGAGATACCTATTTGAAGAAATGGAAGAGAAAAACTGAAACAACGCATGAAGGTCATACAAGTAAGACCCAAATGTTGTCACAAGCGTTCGCATCTTCAAGTTGCAAGCCCTGAAATGCGTGCTTTTGCTCGGATTTTTTTCAGGCGGGACATTTTAAACCGAGTGCAAAGGATTCGTTAACGAGCTCTGAGACGATCTTGTGTCAGAGAAACACAAGGTCCTACGGTGAAACGAAAAAGTACTCGCAAGCATAATTTTCTGTGCAGTGGTCTAAGTTGATAGCACACACAATACACATTTACCAGAAGCAAAATTACTTTTTAGTCTATAATTGGTTAAATATGCAGCTATGGATATTAAGCTCAAGATGGATGATAGACCCCACAGTTTGGTTGTCTTTGGAAGCCAAAATAAAGTAGATGGTATCATCTGAACGACCTTTTCATCATCCTTCATAGCCCGAGAATTCGGTGATGAAATCAGGCGATGGTTGACTCCTGCGGCTGAGTAGATCGGCCCAAAGATTGCTCACACCATCGATGTGTTCAACGACGAAGCGGTATTGACAGATCATATTTGCCCAACAGAGTAATATCTCCATGGTGTGATCCTTAGATCCCTCATCATGTGCAAACTTAGATGAAATTCTTGCGTCGCATGACATCCCTTGTCATGTAGGAGTACAAACTACAGTACGCGCATGCACAGGCAATTGGATATCCTTCCTTTTTGATAGCGCTCCAGTTTCTCGGGCTCGTGTCAAACATGCCTCATTTGCTAAAATGCCTTTCGAGCTGTGGTTCATGAACTGATGTAACTTCGTCAAATCATGCACTTGTGTGACAAGATAGACCAACCGTCTTGTAGTGTGTCTGAGAAATGGAACATTGTGGCATGTTCATGAGTTTGCAGTGTGGTGAAATCGAAAGACTGTTCAAGCCTATCCTAAATGTTAAGCATACTAGAAAGTGCAGAATACATTTCGGTTATATTCATATGGGCACTACACTAATTGTCGATGCTACCGCCATTTTTCAAAACAACTTATCCAGCCAACTTAGTCAGCCAAACGTGTAGACATGTTGTCAACATGAGTCTTCAAGTTGTCAGTACCTATCATTCTCCACGACAAATCAACTTGTCACTTCAATTCAGACAGACGCATTGTCAATTTGTCGCCCGCCTCGCAAGCATGGAGGGCTCGAACGTTCAAATTGGGGCTCTTGATAGGCCAGTCCATGAGGAACTGGGCTACACACGTGCTACAATGATAATTACGATGAGAGGCAACAACTAGATAGAGGCGTTGTCTTGTTGGAAAAATGCAATATGATCTTCAAGGCTCTCTTGCTCTTCGTCCGAAACTGGGAACAGATACTACTCCAGCGTCATGCAATAAACTGGGTACAGATACTACTCCAGCGTCATGCAATATGTCACCGAGCTTTATCGTTGTTCAAGGAATGCGATATCCGACTCCCCGCACAGGTTCACGGCCCCCTAGACCATAACCCTGCCTCCTCTGCTGACCCGCTCAAGAACACGTTTTTGTCGCCACGGAGGTCCAGTAGTACGCGGTATCCATCAGGGTCGTCTAGTTGAACTTCATTTCACCCGAGAAGACAACCTGACGCCAAATATCCAGCCTCGACATGTCTTTGCGGCGAAAACATGATGCGCCTTCACGTGATGCGGCTTCAGAAACGGCACCAGCTTTTGCACTGCGTTTATTCATCTACTTCATGGTAACGCAAGGTCGCCGCGCGAAGACAATTTCCTTGGCAAAGACCGCGTTGGTGGCATACTTAAAAGTTGCTGGCATTGAGCCAAATCCTACTCAGGCCACCAAGTTCCGAGAGTTCGTCGCTGGCTTTACCAGTATGCCATTTAGAACAATTTGGAGGAGAAAAAAGGCGCACCCTGTTACCGTGCACAAACTCGCCATCATCAACTCAACCCGTTCGCTGGTTGTATGCCCGTTTCTAGTTCTACGCATGCTTCATCGGCTGTTGTAACATCAACGAGATGATGATCTTGAAGTGGAAAGATGTTGATCTGAATCGTAATCAACTCGGTGAGTACGTATCCATCAGGCTGCGTTGGGAGAAGAAAGCAAGTACTGAATACGACAGCCAAATCCATCACTTCGTGAATGAAGATACATATCCTTGTCTGCATGTGTGCTCTCTGTTTGCCGAGTGCCGCATGCAAGTTCAAGCAAATGCCTATATCTCTCCCCGTACAAGCAAATTGCGTATTGGCATGGTTAGTGTCGACTGGAACAAGGGACTGGACAAAAGGCACCTGCGGTGGACACATGCAGAATTAGTCGTCCGAACCTCAATAATCGCGCAATGAGTGTCGTTGCACAGTATGCGTCGTTGTGGCAGCGCGTACAGAGTCTTTGGTTCACATCAACGGTGCTTCGATTTCCAAGATTTCAAGGCTAGGTGCCGTTGCGAGATGCCAAGACTTGTGGTGAGTATCTAGCCACAAATAGTTTGAGTGATACAGTGGATCCTCGCTTCCTTATGGTGACTCAAGAAGCACCGATTGGAGGTGTCGTAATAATGTCAAGTGCGCAGCCATTTGTATTGAGTGACGCTGACATCAATTGATTGCTGACGCTATTGCGAATCGCCTGCGTCAATCTGTTTCAAAGCCTCTCCGCGTTTCCTCTACAACAATCGGTAAACGTCAGTCTTTTACTTTGTTCATCGGATGATTGTGCCAACTGTTCACTCATCCAAGGAAGTCTGGGACCAGTGGTTCCATATGAACCCAAGCGATGCTTTCTTTTGAGCATTGCACAACTACAAGAAGGAAATGTTTAAAGGTTATCGCAGACGCTAATCAGAGCATTTGGTTGTGGGACGTGAATATATGAAGTATCAAACTTGTGAGCAGTTCGTGAGCGACTACGCTAGTCACACGGGGACTATATCATCTATCTTGAAGTACGATAGACTTAGGAACATGTGTGCTGTCTTGTATTTGGCTAAGTTTTTAATTGATGTCAATGTTCAATCATACGGTGTTGATCCAGTTGTCCGTTGTATTTGTCCTAAACACAGAAACAAGGTAACTTTGTTGGCCGAAACGGTTCTACTTTTCTCCTTGTAAAAATGACAAATGCATAATAATATTCAATGTATCATTTGACGATTGCAATTTACAGAGGTCGACGGCACCGAGGGGACCAGTGATTAGGTTTACGACAAATAATGCATTTGAGAGTATTAAAAAAATAGGGTTTTCCAACACGAAACATATTCTCTCTATTTATACATATCCATTTGTGGAGGCATACGGTTTCTACGAGTTTTGGTTCACAATACTGACTACTCGGAATCACTCGAGCTGGTGTCATCCGATGACTCATCCGAGGATGAACTGTCGTCTTCATTCACCTCACTCGTGAGCAGCAACTGATACATGTCTTGTAGAAGCTTGTCGCAGTGTTGAACACAGTTCGAAATAACCTCAGGGGGCAACGCATCGAATGCGGCGGACAATCGTGACCGCACATCGTCAAACGTCGTATCCACGGTATACTGGACTCCAACATCCCCTTTCACCTTTGACCACACCAATTCAATAGGTTGAAGATCTGAATGATGCGGCGGGGTGTAGATGACATCGTGCCCACGCGACCTCGCCATCGTGACGACGACTGGGTCGACCTGTGCCGCCACAACAGGTTTGAGCCGAGCCCATTTCGTTTTCTTCAAGTCGAACCTTTCGACGTCCACATTGAACCGCTGACAAGCTGACAATAGATCGGCCTTTCGCCACGTGCCACGTGGAGTGTCAGCAGGTTGACCCTTGTGGTACTTTGCATTATTCATGACAAAGGTAACGCCATGCTTCCCAAGTTTCTCGACCTCGTCCATGCATTTCTCAAACCACTTGACAAAATAGTCGTGGACAAACATCCCGTGGTAGTCCTTCGGTTCGTGTCGCGGCTTCGCGCCGCCTTGGAAGATATCCAAGCCGACAAGACGTGAGTCCTCAGGTCGAGCGCCAGCCATAATACCAGCGATGAAACACAGGCGGCGGCCTTTGTGCTTGTCCTTGACCACTCCGTCATCGGTAGGATCGTACAGACTGTCGTGATGACGGGCGTAATGATGATGAATGTAGCTCTCATCGAGGTAAACCACAGGAGTTCCTGGGGCGAGTTTCGTCATTTGTTCGACATAGATGTCACGAGCAGCAGCATGGGCCTTCGACACGGCATAGGTTGCCTGCCCGCGTCGCTTTCCACGCTTAAAGCCCAAGTTTTGCAAGTATTGTTGAACGCGACGCAAACAGTTTAACACGTCTTGTTTGTTCGAAACATTGCAGGTCAATACACCACGCTCCTGCAGTAGTGCCATGACGTCTTTTGCAACTGTACGGGTTCGTGTCATGCTCCGGGTGCGAATGAATTGACGCACCATCGACGTGACTGCTTGTGTGCGTGGTATGCGTGTGCCTCGGCGGTGATTGTTTGTTGGAGGAGGTACAGCGTGTACTACTTTGGTGCGTAGATTATCAGATCAGACATCTTTCACCACCTTTTGACTCCGTCCAAGAAGCAGAGC